ATAATTGCCACCCAAAGGAATTCCCAGATACGAAAAAGGAAGCCTTTCCACTTTACAGCCAAACATTCTAGCTTTGTCTTGAAGAACATTTTCTTCTACATGAATTCCTATAATAGTTGTTTTCGAAAGATTCAACGACAGCCCCGAAGCCTGTAGGAAAATTTCCAAGATCATCCACCATTTTTCCAACATGCCTATCTCATTTGGACAGAAAATCATCGTATCATCGGCATATTGCAAGTGAGAGACTTCCACCTCCTCCCTACCAATGCCAAAGCCTTTGATCAGCCTTCTTTGACTACAAAAATGGATCATTCTACTGAAAGAATCACCAACTAAGGTGAAAAGGAAGGGGGAGAGAGGGTCCCCTTGCCTCAACCCTCTTTTGGCAAGAATTTTACCCTGGGGCCGACCATTAATAAGAATAGAAAAATTAGTGGAAGTTAAACAACCCATAATCCATTTTCTCCATCTGGACCCAAAGCCCTTCTGTTCCATGACTGCTTCCAAATAAAGCCAATCTACCTTGTCGTAAGCCTTCTTATAATCTAGCTTGAGAACAAAGCCTGACTTGTTTCTCACCTCCCAATCCCCAACAGCCTTTGAAGCAATAAGGATAGCATCAATTATTTGACGACCTTCGATGAAAGCAGACTGTGCATCGTGAATTATCATTGATAAAACTTTCTTAAGTCTTTCCGCGAGCACTTTTGAGATGATCTTATACAAAGATGTTACCAAACTAATCGGTCTGTACTCGCCAACCTTCATAGCCTTCTTCTTCTTAGGAATTAAACAAATATAAGTCTCATTTGTGCACCTGTTGATAACCCCATTTCTTAAAAAATCCTGGAACACCCCCGATAAATCTTGCTTCATAATGTTCCAGGACTTTTTGAAGAATTCATTTGAGAAGCCATCCGGCCCCGGGGACTTCAAATTTCCGAGGCTAAAAACAGCTTGCTGAATTTCCTCTATATCRAAGGGTCTCTCCAGCCAAGTTGTCCAACGATCTTCAAGGCCTTCCCATTGAACGTCTTCAATCAGAAAATGAGGTCCCGAGGAATCCCCATATAATCGCTCGTAGAACCCAACAATTTCCTGAACAATCTCGTTTTCAGAGGAAAGTACCTCTCCATTGTCTTTTTCTAAAATGGAAATGATGGTTTTAGATTTCCTAGCCGAAGACCATCTATGAAAAAAATTAGAATTTTCGTCCCCCTTCTTGAGCCAATTTAGCTTACATTTCTGGGCCCATTTCCTCTGCTCTCCGATGGACAAAATAAGGAAATTCTTTCTGTGCTCCTCTCTTTCAACCTTCTTTGTCTCAGAAAGAAGTCTAACTTCTTCAAGTTTGTCAAGCCCATCTATTCTTCGTTCGCAGTCTCTAAGGTCGTTTTCAACAACCCCAAAAGTCTCTTTGTTCCACTTTCTCAGCCGAATCTTGATTTCTTTCAGCTTATTCATAAAAACATAGTCGGGCCACCCGAAAGTGGGGAGAGAATTCCACCAAGACTCAATGTTATCCTTGAAA